TAGAGATGTTTGGTGATTATTATGTGCGGTGACTTCACGTTCAATATCTCGAGTGCCATTATATGTCGATTCGAATATTCGAATGAATTTGATATCATTTTATGTGAAATCATGTTGTTTTCACTGTTCTGTTGTGCTGCGGTTCGAGCTATCTTAGAGTGAGTATTTGAATTTGTGACCTTCATGAGAATTGTAGTGTTTTCAGTTTACTAAGTCTGGGCTTTGGAATTTCTCGATTTCGATCTATATCGAAAAAGTTATGATTTTTTCAATATTTGTTGTACTTCCAGTTTTTCGGTACCCGACAGCAAAATTGGATTTAATGTTTGGTCTGTTTTTCATGTTAAAATGTGCTCGTATGAACTTACACTCTTCATGAAAGTTATAGATCTGTCTTTTACCTTTCAAATGAAATATATTTTATGTTGATATGTGCTCTGTGGCTCGAGTTATGGTTTTATGAAGTTAGATATGCATGAGTTAGGAATTATCATGTTGGCAGAAATATGGAACCGAATGTTAACCAATTTTTGACCATTCAAATGAGCTCATATGTTTCTGTGTTCTACATCAAAGTTGTAGATGCATTCCTAAGGTTTAATTTGAGATGTGAACCATATTATTTAGAGGTCTGTAGCTCAAGATAAAGGTTAAAAACTGAGATACTGTCCATGTTCATTATACTAGTTTGGCCAGATTTATTGAATCACATGTTTTGTGTTTTAACTCGTTGAATATGTGATTATTTACCAATGTGATCTTCAGAAAAGTTGTAGAAACTTTAGTTGCCTATCATGTGGTTTTTGAATTTCATTAATAGCATGCCTGTAGCTCAAGTTAGATGGTAAATACTGAAGTCGGGTCAAGTATATTTTTTCCAGTTTTGGACTGTAACTCAAATTTTAATGTTTGTTGATTTATCACCTGTTAAATAACCTTGTTTGCTTTTAGTGCCTTCATAATAATTGTAGATTCATCTCTTAGTATTGCAATGCAATTTGATTTGCATTCATACGAGTTATATAATGAGAGTTATGTCAATTTTAAAAACGCTGCCGGGTCGAGTTTTCAAAACTTATGTGATATTTTCGAAAATGTGTTTTCTTTTGCTTTGATGCGTGTTTAAATTATTATATGAACTTAGTTGGGCTTAGCCATTATAGAATAGTCTTTGATAAGATTATTTTAATAAATGTAGGTGTTTCACGAGTCGACCTCGCCGCCTACCCTTGTTTGTGTTAATTCCGAACGCTACCAGGGGGGTTCATTTATGTTGAATCTACATTTATCGCACTTGTTATTTCGTATAAATGTTTGTCGCGATAGTTTTTGTATGCGTGAGAACCCTAGTCTAAGTATCCTGATGGTAGTGCCTTTGACGAATGCATAATCAGTGGAAGTCACCTGCCCGTTGTATCCGGGAGGTGGGCGCCCGAATCCGTGTAGAGCGGAGGGGATTGTCTGAACGCCCGAATCTGTGTAGAGCGGAGGGGTAATTCAACTTCACTGTCTCCTGGTAAGATCCTACGCCCGTTGCATCCGGGGTGGGAGTGCTTCCAGTTACATCCTCGCCGATGTCTGGTCGGGAGGTTTGTTGTATGTACATAGGAGGTTTGTGATAGGGCCTAATAGGGAGTTAGATATGGATTCTATGCATACATAATTTATGGTTATAGATCTTTATGCGAAATATACTGTGCGGTAAAGGTGAGTATGATGGTTGTACTCACCCCCATTTACTTTTCTGTCCTCTTGTTCCTCTTCCTATCTTTTAGGTTGAACATGGTTGGCGGCGGCAGCGAGAGACGATCGAGTGGTGGTCGTTGGATTATGTGTTACTTGCTTCCACTTTTTATTATTTCGATAAACCATTTGTTCAACTTTGAATAACTATGTTTCCGCTTTATTTATTTCGCACCTGTTAGTTAGACTATTGAATTCGGTTGAAGTATTGGTTTATGCATGACTGGTTTTGAGGTTTATGGATACTTTGGGTTTTATTTTGAACTGTTAGATTTTATCTGTGTAAGATGTTTATTTGGTTTAAGTAGTTTAAGTAGCGCCCGTTTGTTAATAAAGTTTTAATTTGGGATTTTGCAAAAAAAAAAAAAAAAAAAATCACTCTGATTTTTATAAATAAATTCGGAAAATTCTTTAAAATAAAACGGGGCGTTATAGCTAAATTTTTTATATCTGCATCACCCAGCTTCAAATCTGAAATAATGATAGATGACCTATTAGATTTCGTTTTTTCACGTTGAATACAAAAAAAATTTAATAATTAAGAGAAACGATGTTATTGTAATACTTGATAAATGCATAATATAAAACGCCCTAAATCTCATATCATCATTATCCAAAAGACGACGTTGCTTGTATAGTATGTCGTCAGATATAAATTGCCAACATCGTTCCCAAACTTCATCGGGTTTGCCTAAGGATCCAGAAACCAGTAAAGACGCGAACATGCGCCAAAGAGAATCAGCAGATGCCCACTGACTTGCTTCGGTAATTCCATCAATGTACTCTCGACCATCACCCAACAAACCTCGTGCATAGCAAGCATCGCGATAGGACGTGTATTGAACATCGCCTACCTTCATATAATCCTCGTGGCAAGTAGCTCCACGAACAACATTGACCAAACACATCAAATAATAATTATCACCAGCATTGGGAGGAACATAGCTCAAACGACCTATACAACCTGGCCTTATTCGAGGAGTCCAGACTCTTTCTTGTTTGTTCCAAAAAAATTTTGTCGGCGCCTCAACATACGTCAGTTTCCTTGCCTCGGGATACATCTTGTTCGCTTCCATCCATGCCAAAAATTGGCCCTCATTGACGGTGGGATTATTAAGAACTTCATCGATAGGATCATCATCATAAAAAACAATATTATGTTCACCTTTCAAATGGAAACTCAGACGTTGCACAGAAGGTTTTTTGTACTGCAGTTCATAACCCAATAGCCTCCACGCCGCCTCGCAAGAAGACACATACCGATAGTCATAGAACATATTGATCTCGTCAATAGGTTTTTCTATTTCTCCATACGCAGTCGTCTGATAGAATGATGCGGTGACACGATCATGACCTTTATTGACGTACTTGAAAAGGTACTTTATGGATCGCGATTGATTACACCACTCGACATTAATATGTGCTCCATATTTCATCAACAATTTGCGATTGTGAGGCACGACATAACTATTATGGACAACGACACCATTTTTGTCAATATGCCTTCCATTGTCTCGACGTCTGTATTGTGGATAACCTTCATGGTCGACAGTGGTTAAATCGACAAACTTTTTAGGAAACCGTTTACTACATTTGCCTTCCACCATGCACGGAGACGGTTTTCTAGCCAAACCACAAGGTCCGTGGATCATGTGCTCTTTACTGCCTCATAATACAACGGATCCGACGTCTCATCAGGTATCTACGCAGATATTACTCTATCAATGTCTGACGGATTTGGGAATTTATTTTCTTCGGCGAGAAATAGTAGTATATGAGCATGCGGCAATCCACGCTTCTGAAATTCAATGGTGTAGACAACTACAAAACACAAAAGAAGATAAAATAATTAGAACATTTTTTAAAATGGTGTTAGACACCACGATGGACATATATACAACAATTTTTTTTTCTTAAAATAATACCTGCTATGACTTTGCCGAAAATTTGCTTTTTACGAAAATCCCTGATTAATTCCTCCAATTTTGATTTAAAAACCCTACATATAATATCCGGGCGATCCTCAGGTCGCAGTCTCTTTGGTTCCAAAAAATGAACAATCTCGGGCCATTTTGGATTGCATGTGAATGTTATAAACAAATCAGGATAACCTGCCCATCCACAAATTGCCATTGCATCCTGATAGTTTTGAATCATGTTTCGAGGTCCCCCAGTGAATGAAGAAGGAAGTATAATTCTTTTTCCTCTAGAGCTTGGATCAACATCGCCCTAGAGAACAGCATCCGCCAATCTATTGTAAATATCACATCGGAGTCGACTCTGATTGAATCGTATATACCGCAACCTCGATGATTCAACCATGGTATATGCATCAACGACAAACTGCTGAAACAATCTTCTCGCTGAAAGAATAGTAGATGGTTCGTGTTTCCGATCATGGATCCGGTACGCGAAGTATTCCCGGACGCTCACTGTTTTTCGACCACGCTCTTTTTCAACTTTTCGATCTGAAAATGGAATGTCTTCTCTATAGCCATTCTCACCATAGGCAAAACAAGGGGATATTGTAAAGCCAGATATGAAGCATTAAGCTCATTTATTCGCTGTAGTCGTCCACTCTTGGTTTCAACCAATATATCTTGCTCACCTATAGCCTGATCAAAATCTCCAACGACCAATACAACAACTTCAGAACTCGTAGGCAAGTTATAACGTCTGGCATCATTGAATCTCCTTCCAATTAAACGAATCCTGACATTAGATTCGCCATGATATTGAATTCTTTCTCTAGCCAAACGAAATGATTTCACAAGTTCGTTGTGCTTATCCAACATGGTCGTCAATCCAAAAATAATTTCTCCATTCAAATCAGTAGCACCGTCAACATTTCTGATAAATGAAAAAAAAATTTAAGGCAATCAAATCAAATATTATAAAAGAAAAATAATAAAAACTCGATTAAGGATATTATTTAAATACTGAACTCACAACATTCATTCTGTTGGTTACTTCATTATGAGTGTCATATATATAGAGCTGAGCAAATTTTGGAGTTGAACCTTCAGAAGGAAGTAAACTACCCATGAGATGGTAGTTTTGTCCGTGCAAACTGAAAACGGGTGGTCCCGATCCTTTGTTGATATCGGTATTGATCTTGCCTCCCAGATAAGTAAAGCCGAACATGCTGTTGTAGGATCTAATGTTTTCTTGAAAGTGTTTGCTAACGCGGCTATCTCCATGTAGCAATTCACTCAAAATTGTGGCGGATTATGTAGAACAGGTAGTTCAATCATACCATTCACACAGCAACCACCATACTTGGTAACAGCCGACGTTCTCTCAGAAGACTTTCTCTCAGCATACCAAAACATTGCTTCACAGTACGCGCATTCGATGCTGGCATCACCCATGTCCCAGTACTCTACAATTGTTATGATGAAGAATATTTTAATATTATATAATAAAATTAATTTACACAACTTGTCATAAAATCAAAATTAAAATGATAACCAACCGGATTGTGCAGAAGTGCTCGCCAACATTTTTTTAGGTCGACCAGGTTTTTTCTTTTGATTGGTAGGTGGCACTTGATCACGCAAATCAACACCTACTATAATATAAACATAACCATTTCAAAACTGACCACTAAATATAATTATATAATTCACAAATAAAATAAAAAATTCATAAACATACCATTTTGTGTGGACGTGCTTCCAATATTTTTTTTGGTCGTCCACGTTTTCTTTTAAGAGAAGTAAGTGGTACTTGATCGTCAGCCGTGTGATCCAATATCTCACTCGATATAGTTGGGTATGGCGTTGGATTGACAGTTATTTTTTCATGGTCTAAAAAACGTAAATAATTGAAAAAAAATATGCTAAAAAAAATTATACATAAATATACTGCAATAAGTGATAAATTAATTATTTAAATAACAACATACCAGTTTGTGTGGACGTACTTCCTAGAACCTTTTTAGGTCGACCACGCTTTCTTTTAAGTTCCGTAAGTAGTAGTTGACCATCAGAAGTGTGATCCATTAAGTCACTCGATATATTCGTGTATGGAGTTTGAGTGATGGTGATTTTTTCAAGTTCTAGAAAACGTAAACAATTAAAATATATTTACTTAAAAAATTTATACTGAAATATCCTGCAATAAGTGATATATTAATTTGTTAAATGACAACATACCAGTTGATGTGGACGTATTTCCTAGAATCTTTTTAGGTCGACCACGTTTTCTTTTAAGAGTCGTAACTGGTACTTGATCGTCCGCACGATGATCGAATATCTCACTTGAAATAGTAGTGTGTGGAGCGCCGATTATTTTTTTAAGATCTGGAAAACGTAGATAATTACAAAATAAATAATTTAAAAAAAATAATACTAAAATATAATGCAGTAAGATCAATGAACTTAATGGAGAATAAAAGTGTCTCACCAGATGCAATAGATTTGGATGTTGAATTTAATGGAGTAAATACTGGGGCTGTTTCAAATACTACATAAGAAAAATATTTTAATTATATATATTATATATATGCATGTAAATAAATAAATAAATTTAAGTAAAAATATAATTTTAAAAAGTTTACCATTGGTGATGTTTGATAATGGTAGACTTTGAGAAGTATGCAACACACTTCGCCATTGATATGAAACCTTGCCGGAATTATTGTTGTTTTCAATCGGAATAAAAGAAGATCCAGTAACAGGTGAAGGTGTGCAATATCCTGTAGAAATAGAATGGAATATTAAGAATAAATAAATCAGTAAATACAAAAAAATCATATAATATAAAAAAAATTAAATATATAAATGTATAAAACAAAAAACAAATTAATTAAAGGTGACAAAAATAATTATGAGCAATTTTGTTTTACTTATATAAAACAAATAATAAATAGTAATTTTTATATTGGGTTAAAAACAATATATCAACAATTAGGCTTTAAAATCTATTAATGTAATTAATAATCAACTATATGAGATTAATTGGCCAATATCATTTTAAACCCACTACACACAAATTCAGCCCAAGTTGAAATACACATTTACGGCCCAATTGTCTACACCATTAAAATAGCCCAATTCTATAATTAAGTATGAGAAGCCCAAATATCAGCACAACCCACAAGCCAACTCATAATAATCGGACAGTTAATATTTTGTCAACAAAATTTAACGGCTGTGATTAACTGTTCTTGTGTATAAAACGAAAAATGATCTTGTAGGGTTTCATTTGGTCACCGCCTCACTCTTCTCTCCCTTCTTTTTTTACTCTTCTCTCCCTTCTTTTTCGCCGCCTTGTCTGAGTATCGATCAATATGTCCGATTTCTTTCCTTGTCCGATCTATTTCCTAATTTTCATTTTTCCTGTTTTGGTTTATGTTTGAAATGATCAGTTAACTTTCTAATTTTTCAAAGTCGAAAAGATTGGTTTCGATTCTCACAAGAATTGTTTCTAATCTTAGAAACAATTGTGAAATTCAAAATCTTTCTCCGATATTTACTTCGATCACCGATGAAAAATCGATGATCGGCCTTGTTTTTTACCTATGGCGGAAAGGTACTATGAATTAGATTTGTATATCGAAGGTTTTTTTTTTTGTTCTTACCTGGACAGAAAAGGTCGACCTCGTTAGTTTTGATGTTGATTTGTTTTGATGTGTGTATGTTACGTGTGTGTCTGAGATACGATCAATCTGTCCGATCTATTTCCTTGTCCGATCTATTTCCTAATTTTCATTTTTCCTGTTTTGGTTTATGTTTGAAATGATCACTTAACTTTCTAATTTTTCCTGTATATTTAAAGTTTGATTTTTTTTTCTTACATGGACAGATCTGCGTTTTTTATGTTCATGCTAGTGTTGGGTTCTATAGATAACGTCAACGACATGCACAGTATTGATCTTATCGAAATAAACCCTAACGCAGCGGAATCTATAGTTAGGATTAGGACATTACCTTTTAAAATTTTTGCCGACTCAGAGACGTTTCTGATTTCCTTTGATGGAGATCGTCTGATTACCACAACTCAATCGGTTGAAGAGTTTGGCCTTTGTCGACTCTAGTCGAGTGTTGAATCACGAACGGATCACCGGGATGAACTTCTCGGGTTCGGGCCGGTTGGACAGGTTCGGATCAGTCTCGGGTCAGGTCGGATTGCAGCGGTTCGGTCACGGACGGGGGTCACGGACGGCAGCTGGTCGGGACCGATTGGTGCAGGTCGCGTGTCGATGGCTGGTCGCGTGTGGCGTGTCGCTGGTGCAACGCGTCGGGCGTGTCGCGCAAGGCAGCAGGTCGCGTGGACGTGCGGGCGACAACTCCTGGTCGTGCGAGGAATCCTGAGCGAGCGAGGAGTCCTGGGCGTGCGAGGAGTCCTGGTCGAGCGAAGGATGTCGGTCGAGTGTCACGCGAGGAATCCTGGTCGAGCGCGGATTGCTGGGCGCGTAGTGCACGGTCGCGGAAAGCAGATCGACGCCTGGCAGGTGTTTGCGAGCAGAGGCGGTCGACACGGCGTCGCTGGGTTCACGGTCTGGGCACGATGAACGGTTGTGCGCGGTAGCAGACAGGGCTTGCGGTTGCGCACGGCTGGGCTTGGGCGAGGTCTGGGCGGCGACTGGTTGCGACGGCGGTTTTCCTGCGGTGGTCGACAGCGGCGAATGGCAGCGACTGGCTGGGGAAGATGACCGAAAAATATGGCTTTGAGGTTTAAAGAAATCTCACCTTAAAGCCTTCTAATGAATTACCTAAACACCTACTTCAATTAATCTTGGTGGTGCGATTAATTAAATCTCCCTAACTCTCGAACAAGACTATTCTCTCTCTATTGCTAGGAGAAAATTCGGCTTCTATGTATATCTCAAGAGGTTTGGGACATGGTGTATTTATAGGCTTCATTAGGGACCTTAAGGATGTGCCAAATATGGGCTTATCCCATTAGGTCAAGGAATCCTAATTCTACTCCATAAGCTAATCCATATTAGGTCATGATTCCTTTCTCCTAACATCACCTTCTAGAAGACTCTATAGTCTCCTAACCCTAGGTGAAATTTTAGAAGGAATATTCCTAAGTCTTGGAATAATAAATATGGAATAAAATTAATTCCTAAATTCCTAATAAAATTAAATAATAATATATCCCACTAGAATATTATTATTGCTCTCCCCATTTGGCTCCGAATTTAATTAATTAAATTAAACCTCCACTTAATTAAAAAATATTAATCTGATTGACCGATTTACCTCCCCATGTTTAAGATATAACGTCCGTGGATTAATTAAATAACTGACAAGATAATTAATCGACTTCTTATTCATTTCCGAAATTAGTACCACTCAAAACCTTAATCATTGTGTCGGATAAATATCCACCTGCAGGGTTTAACACAATATTCCTTCCTGAGCTCATTTCGGGGACGTCATCAATCCAGCGCACTGGAACACGGTACTATAAATAATTTATAATAGCTCGTCATATAATCACTCTTAATTTTACCAAAGTACTGAGTATGTCATCCTAGTAAAATAGGAATCACCCTTGATAAATAAAATAAACAAGTAATGAATATACACGACTATTTTATATTATCTTATAGCTTCAGAGAACGCATCAATCGCTGAAGGTATAGATTATAACAACGATCAGTGAATCTCATAATCTTATCCTTCCGGCGGTCCTGTTCAATACTTAACATAAGTACTAGTGTAATTCTCCAGTCAAGGTCAACAGAATCAAGAATACACTACAGTCTTTTTCCATGTGGGGTCTCACTGCAGTCTAGATTGTGAACAAATGATTTAGTCTTACAAGGAACTGATAGGTGACCTTTCTGTTCGACACCACGAACCACACCATCTCAATGTAAGACAAGGAGTATGATTGCATAAATAAATAAACTGCAAGCATAAATACTTTGACTAAAACATGATTGCCAGATCAAAATGGTATTATTAATATCTGAAAGCCAAGCTTTTACAGCATATCTAACAACCTCCCACTTATGCTTAATAAGCTCATGGCTATCCCTAACCACAATTCTCTTTTAATCTAATTCTCAAAGACTAGTCTAATATGTTGCTCTAACATCTGACTCCCATTCCTTCTACGTGTCTTGAAAAGACTTTCGCCGGTAGGTTCTTCATAAAAGGATCTGCTAGGTTGTCCTCTGATTGTATCTTGGCAACAACGACTTCGCCTCTTCCAACGATCTCTCGTATCAGGTGGTACTTGCGCTCTATGTGTTTACTTGCTTTATGAGTCCGTGGCTCCTTTGAATTTGCTACTGCCCCGCTGTTATCACAGAATACTGTAATTGCAGCGGGCAAACTCGGTACCACGTCAAGGTCGAGGAGAAAATTCCTAAGCCAAACAGCTTCTTTCGCTGCCTCTGAGGTTGCTACATACTCAGCCTCCATGGTTGAGTCTGCCACGCATTTCTGCTTGACACTCCTCCATACAACAGCTCCTCCTCCTAAAGTAAACACAAACCCTGAGGTTGACTTGCTTTCGTCCCTGTCTGCCTGGAAGTCAGAATCGGTGTAACCCAACGGAAGCAATTCATCTGCTTGGTAAATCAACATGTACTCCTTAGTCCTTCTCAGGTACTTGAGTATATGCTTTACCCGCAGACCAATGTTCCGGCCCTGGGTTACTCTGATATCTCGCTACCATGCCTACTGCATAGCAGATATCAGGGCGTACACAACATTGCATACATGAGACTTCCTACTGCCGAAGCATAAGGCCGCCTTCATGTCCTCTTATCTCTTGAAGAGTCTTCGGGGACATCTTCTTAGATAGAGCGATTCCATGTCTGAAAGGTAAATCCCCTTTCTTTGAATCATGCATGTTGAAACGCTTCAGGACAGTATTTATGTATGTAGATTGGGATAGGCACAACTTTCTCCTATCTCGGTCCCGAATGACCTTGATACCGAGAATATGTCCTACTTCTCCCAAATCTTTCATATCAAACTGCTTGGATAACCATACCTTTACGTTTGACAACATCTTCACATTGTTTCCAATGAGGAGAATATCATCTACGTATAGCACTAGAAACACCACCACGTTTCTTTCACTTTTCTTGTACACACAGTGCTCATCCGGACATTGGGTAAATCCATACGATTGGACAACCTCGTTAAACCGGATGTTCCAAGATCTCGAAGCCTGCTTTAGTCCATAAATGGACCTTTTCAGCTTACAGACCAGACGCTCTTGTCCCTTTGCAATGAACCCTTCTGGTTGCTGCATATAGATGTCCTCGTCTAAATTCCCGTTATGGAAAGCAGTCTTAACATCCATTTGCCAAATCTCATAATCCATATGAGCGGCTACAGCCAAGAGAACCCTGATGGATTTCAGCATAGCTACCGGCGAAAAAGTTTCCTCATAATCATTTCCCTCTTTCTGAGTATACCCTTTCGCAACAAGCCTAGTGTTGTTGTATGAAATTAACAACTTAAAATTACAAATAGCTGAGTGTGTTTAAACAAATATTAAAGTAAAATTAGATTTTATTTGATATATTCACAAGAGTACATGAGTCGGTTTTTTTATTCTTGACCGAGATCATCTCAAGTCCATGTACAATGTGTTGAAAAGGATCCTCGTACTATCATAAATTCTGCTATTTATACTACGGTGGTTTTTGTCTTCTTGCTTGAGATGGATAAGCATGTATTTAATGTTGAGCAGCTTCAACAAAGTGATGTGCTTTGGA